AATTATTTTTATGAGTTCAATTGTGAAGTTGCAATGAATAATAATTTGGTTATATGTTGATATTTTAGTACTTGATTATTTGATCAAATTTAATTATAATGAAATTATATAATAAAATTTTTTTAACCCCATGGGGGAAACGGGACGGGGTGGGGGCAGGGCGGGGCAAGCGGGGGGTGGGGGACGGGGCCCCTATTGTCAACCTCAAGATTAGTTTGATCATTGGGTATACCATCCATATCCAGCACATGCACATTAATCACCATTACAGACTTATGCATTTTGAACATTTCACTAACACTATCATCATCTGTAATATCAAACATGTGGCCTGTCTTAGGAGTTAGGCACCTCATGTGTATTAACTTATTCAGATGCCCAGGGACTTGACTGAATACCTTTTCGGCAACATCAAACAACAAGTTAATGTAATAGTAACCAATTGGATCGACATTTGGAATTCTTCCCCTCATAGTGGATAGATATGTCATAAGCAAGAAGAAGAGCCATCCTAAGTTTCAAAAGAGACAATTATTGAGCAAGAAGGAAATCACAACACCTTACAATTGTACTAAAATGTTCTATATTTGTATCATAGACTAGTCATGAACTCAGACAATGACCAATGCACCATGTTTATACAAGAGTTGTGAAGATCAAAAACAGATCATGATACATCATCCATTGATAAACATGTCTTAAACAATTGGAACAGCAGAGCAACAAATCTTAAACAACTGGAATAGTAGAGCAACAAGTCGTAAACAACTAGAATAACATCACATGCATATGCTATTGATTATTACTGACATATTCAACTGATGATGCAAGAGCTAACATACATTCATTGCAGTCATGTTTTGCCTTATTATCATACAAGAGCTAACATGCAAATTCTGTGCCTTCAAGTGACAACATCAGAAATAATTTACCTGTACAGCTGTGATTCTTGCAAATTAATTGGAGTAGATGCTCAGATTTTGGTTCCTTTCTACTGTCTATTGTGCTTCCTCTCTCACGGATATGAAACCTCTCATGAACTAAGCAAAAACTCCAGCTTCTTCCCTTATGTTTCCTTCCCTCAATGATCACAATTTTATCAGTCACAACACTCTCTTATGGAGCAAGTAGACAGCTTGTCATCTCAAGAGCTGTCAAAGCACATATTGGCGCCAATTCATGGCGCCATCTTCCTCCTCTATTGGTGCCTTGTGGTTGCCTCTACAAATAATGCTTAAACATGCTCCAAGTCTGATCAGACAAGGACGGACTCTCAAGTACTTTAGTTAGTTAGTTAATTAGTTTAATTAGTTTAACATGCAAATAGTTTAATTAGTTTAACAAATGATTTGTTGGTTTTGATGAAAATAATTAAACCTTTCATCTGGTAACATGAAAATAATTAGGCTAGCCAAGTAAATTCACACACTTTTACCTTAACAATAGGCCCCAACTTTTTTTTAAGAGAGGTCAGTGCTATTTCAAAAATTATAGAGGAGGTAAGTGCTAGTGTCAGAAACCTCAGGGGAGGTTTCTGCAATTATCCCTATATATATGTATATATGTTACCAAATATAAGAGCAAATCTTAATCTTATTACTAAATACTAATTGGTAATTACTAATTAGCTAACTTAATTATAACTATACCTAGAAGTCAAATTTTGTTGGAATTCGATATGTTGGAGTTTAGCTTGACAATTAGATTGAAGGTCTTATTTATTTCAATGTTGCTTAAGAATTGATATTATGATATAAGGATTAGGATTATGAACCCTTTTTTTTGGCATATGATGTTTGTTTGAGTTAAGTTGATTGATTTTTGTTGGAAAAGCATACGAGATATTATTTTGTTACAATAATATTTTTAAAGAAAATTAAAATATTTTAACTCATTATTGATATTTTGAATTTCAGATATGACCAAATTACCGATTCTCCGATCTAATTTACCAAACTAAAGTTGGGATGGTAATTAGATATTTGATCTTAAAAAATCGATTTTCAAATTAACCAAAAAAATTTTCTACCGAATTCCTGATTATTGGTCGATGAACACCCCTAGTTGTGGGGGCAAAAAAAAGAAAAGGAAAATAAGTATTGGAGGTAGGAAGGCGGAGAAGGAAGGAGAGGAGGAGGAGAAAGAAGAAAAGGCAGCGAGTGGTGGATAAAGATGGCAAGGGGTGGTTATTGGGATGGGAAATCCTTTCCCCACCCTCATTGAGTTACAAAATATCTTTCCCCAGCCCCACCCATCCTCTTGCCCCTTGTTCCATCCTACCCCGCTCCCACCCTAGGAAAGAAATTTCCTCTAAATTTATTATGCTATTTCAATAATTCAATTTAGAAAACACTAATAGACCATAAGATACTTGATTTTGTCTTCCAAGAATGAGAAGTTGATGATTTTGGTCACCTTGACATAGGTTTTAGAAAATCAAGCAACTTGGAACCGTATAGCCTGAATTCAGATGATTTAATTATTATGTTAAAATTTAAAGGGTGATTTTGTTTGCATGAAAGGGTCGCCCAGAATTAGAATTCAAAGGTATCACATGACCTGCTTTTGATTTTTGGCTTTTTTGGCAAAAAAAAAAATCTAAAATTAGTTTTTTACAATTAGTTGAGAATACAACAAATAATTTTTCAAAAATCAAAATCTAAAATCAGGTTTCCAAAATTGGTTGAGAACAAGCTCAAGAAAGTGAAGGAAAATGGGGCTACGCAAAAGAAAAAGGGGGAAATTAGGGAGGTGGACTTAGATTGTGTTCTAATTGGCTCCATGGCAACATTAATGTTGGGTCAGAAGTTTGGAGAAATAATGGAGCATGTGGATGAGGTGAATTTTGCATTGGATGGATTGAGTTCGTAAGCGTTTGAAGGGGAGTTTGCTTGCTTTGTTGTCACTATGTGGAAGTGCTCAGCAGAGGGACTCGGGTATTTTAGACCTCCTTTGGATTGCTATTTTTACAAATTTTTATAGAAAAATGTTTTATAGCAATTTCATGGATGTTGAGGCAAAAAGGTGATTAAAAAATATGTTCGCAAAAAATATAAAAATTTTGCTATAAAAAACAACAATCTAAATAAGGCCTTAATTTTTATCTAATTCACTATGTAGGAGATGAGACAGAAGATGGGACAGAGGTATGATCCCTTGTCCTCTGCCCGTCTTTTGGTAGGAGGAGAAAAATCCCCCCATCCCTGTTCCAATTCTTGCCCCATAGGATGGACACCCATTCTTATTGCCATTCCCATGGAGGTGATGGCGGAGGGGAGCAGGAGAGATGGAATAAAGGAATATAATTTTTAAATCTTTTAAAAACACTCCAAAAAGAAGAATTTAAAATTTTAAAATGCCTTAAATATTGTGAAACTAATAAAATAAACTATTAAAAATAGAGAATAAAGAGAGTAAAATAAAGACAGGGAAAGAATGAAAATATTTCTATTATTCACTAATCAGATGTTTCAAAAGTTCACACACAGTACCTATAGCTACCTGTACATTGCAGAAAGCAAAACACTATCAATACAACTCACTATATAGAGGATGGCTAATGCCTATCAAAAGCACTTGTGGGAAATACCATATTCAAGGATCAGCTTACAGATTTCTTTGGTTCTGGAGACTCCTCTCCAGGAGGTTCCTGTGTGCCTCAGCGCTGCAACTATGTTTGTCATGATGCCAACTGCAGAAAAATGTCTCTTCTGAAAAATTGCTTCATTTCTAGCTCTCCACACATAGTAGACTGTAACAGCAAGAGCCAGCCTACGGAATTTACCCACAAGTGTATTTGACTTCCAATGCTAACATAGCCAACTAAATTCCACAGAGCAAGAGTATGAACCTCTGAAAACAGAGCATAAGGCACATTTTGCACTCAAAAGATAGGTGTTTGATATACTTCTCTGCACCATTACATAAAACACAGTCAGAAGAGCCTTTCAAACATCCCAATATTCTCATTTTATCTTTAGTATACGATCTCCTTGTACATAGCAGCCACAAGATAAGAGAGAACTCGGGCATAGAACTCGGGTATAGGCCCCTTATCCCAAATCAGTTTATGACAAGGAACATTATTTCCAGCAGGACAAAGAACTTTCAAAGCTGATCTAACTGTAACGCATCCAGTACTGCTAAGCAACCAGATAGTAGCACCATCTACATCAAGCACAGCAACAAGCTCACAAGGAGTGAGCTGCTAATGTCTCTTTATTAAAGTAGTATATGTCCCGCCACAGGGCACCATTTCCCATCCAGAATTATAATTCTCAAATTAAAAGGTTTTAAAACATAGTACAGAGTCATTGCAGGATTTCGTGCAGACTGTTTTCTTAACTGAGCAGCTTGGTTTAAAATGCATGTGATTTGAAGGGAACAAAGACATTGGCATACCTTTAACTAAAGCATCCTTGTCAGGTAGTTCTCCATTTACTACAAGCTGTTGTTCATTATGTATGTCTCACTAGAGAGAAGTTGATGAACCAACAGCTCCTTAGTTTTTAGTGCCTCAATTGGCATTGGAACTATTTTCTCTATTTTCTCTCTTTTCCTCACAACTTTAACTGTACCTATTTGTTAACAACCATAGGATTTCAAACGATTTACAGAAGTCATCTGTTTTTCCATGTCAAGTCTGTGGAAATAATGCAAAATGCTGCATCTGTCATTCTTAAGGCAAAATGCTGTTGATGAATATCTGTAACACAGAAAAGCACCAACTGATCTTTCCTGTACTCAACAGACCACAAAAAGATTAGATTAATGCTGCTGTTGACCTCTGAAAAGCAGTGAGATTTTATTTATATATTTGACAAGACGCCATATAAGACAAAGCCAAGCACCAAAGCTTAAAGCACTTCCGTGAGTTCCACTCGACACACATTATTAAATGTTTGCAACAGCTACTATTTTGCTTCCCAGCATTGCACGAGATACCAAGTATACTAGACAAAACCAAAGCACAAACTGTGAAAAGGACAATTCTAGATGATGTACACTATCCAAGGGTAACAGCTACCACCTGCTTCCCAATGTTGGGCTCTGAGAATAGCCCTATCAAAGCACGCGGGGCATTCTCAAGGCCTTCAGCTATGTCTTCCACATAAGTGATCTTCCCTTCTTGCATTAATTCTGGAACCACTTAAGTCTTGATGAAGACGACATTTTACTCGAATAAAGCATGTTATTGTGTCACTGAGTGGTATTTCTTAGCTCAAAACGCATTTGTCAGATTATCATGAATTAATTCATCTTTCCAAAATTGGCACTTTTAGTTCTTGTTTCTTAGCATCATTCCAACTACCTGCAAAGACGCATGATACCTCCATTTGTCTTAGTACTTCCTAGTTTCTGCAGCTAGAAAGATGTGGACTTCTTACTGGAATATTGATATTCCAGGTACTTTCCAGGTGGTATTGATATTCCTAACTACCTGGAAAGCAACCACCTGTACTACAAGAGTTTCCTATCTCCACCATTTTTATTAGCTTAGAGTTTTATCTTCTAAGTTGATTTGTGGAATTCTCTGTTTAGACCTTAAAATGGGAACATTACTTTCATGCATGTTTCGACTTTTTTCTTCTTATGCCATGTTTGTCATTCCTGTTGCCTTTCCTGCTAAAGTCCTGCAGAGGGTGATATTTTACTGATTCCAACTGTTCTTTTGCTTTGTCAACCTTCCGATTTTCAACTTTCTGCAATAATACATCGATAAGTGCATTAAGTTCTTCATACAATTATCCCATAATTCACCAAATAATTCACTAGAGTCTTCACTTACTAGAGCCTTATCATAATTTGCAATTTGTTGCTTGCAAAGCCTGAGCTCCATCTCAAGTGCACTAATCCGAGACTCGACAGGTACATCACACTGCTCAACCATCTGCTTTTGCATAACTCGAACTACCTCTGGTTGCCACACTTTCAATGCAACCGACGCTTGCCTGATGGTATGCAAACATTCCCATTGCTAGTGCATGAGCCCATAATGTTCCAATTTCAAAAAAGAATAGACTTTGCAAAGTGGAAGTTTAGATTAAATCAATTCCAGTCACCAAAACTAGACAAACATTTAGTGCAAAAGTCTGCTGAATGTGAGCACAAAACATTGTTTTTTTACTTTACTAACACCGAAATAATAATTAGCAATATCAGCAATTAAACTGCTGATGAAGTCAATGTGCCATATGGTGCAGAAAAGCTCCAATAGATTATTACCCACAGAAAAGCATCCAGGCTATTCATTTGTCTGTTGGTTACAACTTATTACCTGGCCCTGCGCAAGTTGAGTAATTCAGCAACTGTTATCCTCATTTTTTCCCTTTCCTGAGCTAAGTGAAGCTCCATTTCGTGAATCTTTCTGGAGGAGTCAGCTACTTCGCTTGCAATTCTGAGATTAATTCTTCTATGGGCCAGGCGCTTCTGCTCTCGGTTCCTCTCATACCTATTTCCATTACCCACAATCAAATACCAACAACTTTAAGTGCCTTCCAATTGAATCCCAAGCAGGAAACAGTTAAAACAATAAGGGGCTCTGAGAATCGTTGCTATCAACGTAAAAAGTAACGCAGCCAGTAAGTTCTTCCAAGAGAAATCGAAGATAGCAGGGACATTTACTCCAACTACTAGTCAACAGCAGCATTAAATTTATAGAAAAAAAAAAAACAAATCTTTAAACACTAGCAATGCAGCATACAACTATTAAAAGGAGCCCAAAACAAAACAAAAAAAAACCGGCTTTTCTTCTTTTTTTAACCTCAAAGAGTGGAACAATTAAGCAGCTGAATTCAGGAAAAGAAACAGGGACGAGAACCAAAAAAAAAAAAAGAATGGAGAAAAATCAGAGTTAAACCAGCACTAGTACCTGATTTTGTAGAGGGCTTTCAAAAAAGAAGAAGAAGAAGAAGACGAGGTGGAGGTGGAGGTGGAATTAAATGAAGCATTGGGAGGAGGTGGAGGTGGAGGAGGAGGGAATCGGAAAGAAGCAGAGAGGACCAGAGAGAATCTTCAGAGGATAGTCTGTGGAGGCGTCTGCAAGTGATGGAGACGCAGCAAAGGTCTCTGTAGGTGAGACGACAAGGAGGAGGATTCGATGGTGAGGCCGAGGCTGAGGTGGTTCCAATTTCAAGTATTCTTCTCCACAGCTCGTCCGGCAACATCCACCACCCCATCTTCTCCTCTCCAATCCAATCCCTATTATTCTTCTAGTCTAATTCTTCTTTGTGATATGATCTTAGTCTGGTCCGTCCGATGAAGAAGAAGAAGCCAGTAAGTTGGTTACCACGCTTCTAAGCTAAACCCACGCTCTTAACATTAATTGGGAGTGGGGAAGGAGGAGGAGGAGGAGGAGGAGGTTGGTAACTTTCTATGTATGTATGTACGTATGTGTGTGTATATATATATATTTTTTAATTCTATTATTAAATACTAATTAGTAATTACTGTAGTAAATAGCTAACTTAGTTATAACTATACCTAGAAGTCAAATTTTGATGGAAATTAATATGTTGGAGTTTAGTTTGACAATTAAATTTGAAGGTCTTATTTATTTCAATGTTTTTCAAGAATTGATATTATGATCTAGGGATTAGGATTATGAACCTTTTTTTTTGCATTTCATGTTTGTTTAAGTTTAGTTGATTGATTTTTGTTAGAAAAGCATACGAGATATTATTTTGTTACAATAATTTTTTAAAAGAAAATTAAAATATTTTAACTCATTATTGATATTTCGAATTTCGGATATGACCAAATTATCGATTCTCTCGATCTAATTTACCAAACTAAAGTTGGGATGGTAATTAGATATTAATCTTAAAAAATCGACTTTTAAATTACCAAAAAAAAATTTCTACCGAATTCCTGATTATTGGTCGATGAACACCCCTAGTTGTGGGAGCAAAAAAAAGAAAAGGGAAAATAGGCATTAGAGGAAGGTAGGTGGAGAAGGGACGTGAGGAGGAGGAGAGAAAGAAGAAAGGGCGCCGAATGGTGGGTAAGGATGGCAAATGGCGGTTATTGGGATGAGAAATCCTTTCCTCACTCTCACCGAGATACAAAATATCTTTCCCCACCCCCATCCGTTCTCCTGTTCCTCGGTCCACCCTACCCCGCTCCCAGCTCAGGGAAAGAAATTTCCTCTAAATTTATTCTGCTATTTCAATTTATAAAACACTAGTAGACCATAAGATACTTGGTTTTGTCTTCCAAGAATGAGAAGTTGATGATTTTGGTCACCTTGACTTAGGTTTTAGAAATCAAGCAACTTGGAACCATATAGATAATTTAGTTATTATGCTAAAACTTTTTTTTTTTTTGTCAAAACGATAATATTTGTGTTGATTTAAAACTTGATAATACAAGTATGCTTTACAAAAGGGCAAGCTGCCCTCACAATCCTTTCTTGCTAGATCTTTAATCCAGCTCGGGAAATTTGATTCCCAATATACATCATTAACTAGATTCAAGGCAAATTTTGCTAGCTATTATGCTAAAACTTGAAGGGTGATTTTATTCGAAAGAAAGGGTCGCCCAAAATTAGAATTCAATAGTACAACAAGACCTGCTTCTGATTTTGTAGCTTTTTTGGGCAAGAAAAAAAATCTAAAATTAGTTTTTTACAATTAGTTGAGAACGCAAAAAATAGTTTTTCAAAAATCAAAATCTAAAATCAGGTTTCCAAAATCGGTTGAGAACAAGCTCAAGAAAGTGAAGAAAATGGGGTTACGCAAAAGAAAAAGGGGGAAAATAGGGAGGTGGACTTAGATTGTGTTCTAATTGGCTCCATGGCAACATTAATGCAGGGTCAGAAGTTTGGAGAAATAATGGAGCATGTGGATGGATTGAGCTCATAAGGGTTTGAAGGGAGTTTGCTTTCTTTGTTGTCAATACGTGGAAGTGCTCAGCAGAGGGACTCGTGTATTTTAGAACTCGTTTGGATTGCTAATTTTACAAAATTTTATAGAAAAATATTTTATGGTAATTTGATATATGTTGAGATAAAAAAGTGATTAGAAAATGTGTTCACAAAAAATGTAAAATTTTTTTATAAAAAAATAACAATCTAAACAAGGCCTTAATGTTTATCTAATTCACTGTGTGGGAGATGGGATGGAGGATGGGCAGAGGTATGCTCCCTTGCCCATTGGCTCGTCTTTTGGTGGGAGGAGAAAAATCCCCCCATCCCTGTCCCAATTCTTGCCCCATTCATTCCCTACAGGATGGACACCCATTCTTATTGTCATTCCCGGTGAAGGTGGTGATAGGCCTGCCAACGGGTCGGGTCTAGATCCGGATCCGGATCGGATCGGTGAAATTATTACCGGTATGGGTAGGGATTTAATTCTGTTTTCCGGATCCGGATTTGGATCCGTCTTATCAAACAAAAAAACGGGTCGGATACGGAATATAGTATTCCGATCCGTATTAGACCCGGATCCGAATATAAATGAATTAATAATTTAAAAAATATATATTTATCAATATAATTTGATTAGGGTGATGTATTTGAGTAAAGTCAATTTGATTTCTTTTCTTATTTGGTTTTTTCTTTGCATTAGTTAGAAATTAGTTTACAAATATATTTTTTTCTCATTTTTATTAGAAATTATAAATTTTGCTAAATTTGTTCGGGTAGACCCGACCCGGATCCGGGACCCGCCGGATCCGGAACATAGAATAAAAGACCCGTCGGATAAACGGGTCGATCCGGGTCCGGTATAGTAATTCGGGTCCGGGTCTGGAATAATGAATTCCAGCCCGGACCTGGCCCGTTGACAGCCCTAGGTGGTGATGGAGGGGAGGACGAGAGATGGAATAAAGGAACATAATTTTTAAATCCTTTAAAAACACTCCAAAAAGAAGAATTTCAAATTTTAAAATGCCTTAAATGTTGTGAAACTAATAAAATAAACTATTAAAAATAGAGAATAAAGAGAGTAAAATAGAGATAGGGAAATAATGAAAATATTTCTATTATTCACTTATCAGATGTTTTAAAAGTTTACACACAGTAGCTACAGCTACCTGCACATTGCAGAAAGCAAAACACTATCAATACAAGAGGATGGCTAATGCCTATCAAAAGCGCTTGTGGGAAATACCACATTCAAGGATCAGCTTCCAGATTTCTTTGGTTCTGGAGACACCTCTCCAGGAGGTTCCTGTGTGCCTCAGTGCTTCAACTATGTTTGTCATAATGGCAACTGCAGAAAAATGTCTCTTCTGAAAAATTGCTTCATTTCTACCTCTCCACACATGGTAGACTGTAACAGCAAGAGCCAGCCTACGGAATTTATCCACAAGTGTATTTGACTTCCAATGCTAACATAGCCAACTAAATTCCACAGAGCAAGAGTATGAACCTCTGAAAACGGAGCATAAGGCATAATTTGCACTCAAAAGATGGGTGTTCGATAGACTTCTCTGCACCATTACATAAAACACAGTCAGAAGAGCCATTCAAACATCCCAATCTTCTCATTTTGTCTTTAGTATACAATCTCATTGTACATAGCAGCCACAGGATAAAAGAGAACTTGGGCACAGAACTAGGGTATAGACCCCTTATCCCAAACCAGTCTATGACAAGAACCATTATTTCCAGCAGGACAAAGAACTTTCAAAGCTGATCTAACTGTAACACATCCGGTACTGCTAAGCAACCAGATAGTAGCACCATCTACATCAAGCACAGCAACAAGCTCACAGGGAGTGAGCTGCTGAAGTCTCTTTACTGAAGTAGCATATCTCCTGCCACAGGGCACCATTTCCCATCCAGAATTATAATTCTCAAATTAAAAGGTTTTAAAACATAGTAGACAGTCGTTGCAAGATTTCGTGCAGACTCTTTTCTCAAATGAGCAGCTTGGTTTAAAATGCATGTGATTTGAATGGAACAAAGACCTTTGCATACCTTTAACTAAAGCATCTCAGGTAGTTTCCATTTACTACAAGCTGTTGTTCACTATGTTGTCTCACTAAAGAGAAGTTGATGAACCAACTGCTTAGTTTTTAGTGCCTCAATTGGCAGCTGAACTATTTTCTCAATTTTCTCTCTTTTCCTCACAACTTTAACTGTACCTATTTTGTTAACACCCATAGGATTCTGAATAATTTATAGAAGTCATCCGTTTTTCCATGTCAAGTCTGTGGAAATAATGCAAAATGCTGCATCTGTCATTCTTAAGGTAATTTGCTGTTGATTAATATCTGTAACACAGAAAAGCAACAACTGATCGTTCCTGTACTCAACAGATCACAAAAAGAGAAGATTAATGCTGCTACTGGGCTCTGAAAGCACTCCCGTGAGTTCCACTCGACACACATTATTATGTTTACAACAGCTACTATTTGCTTCCCAGCATTGCATGAGATACCAAGAATACAAGACAAAACCAAAGCACAAACCTTGAAAAGGACAATTCTAGATGATGTACACTATCCACGGGTAACAGCTACCACCTGCTTCCCAATGTTGCGCCCCGAGAATAGCCCCATCAAAGCACGCGGGGCATTCTCAAGGCCTTCAGCTATGTCTTCCACATAAGTGATCTTCCCTTCTTTTATCTGTGGGATAATCATTTCCAGGAACTTAGGATAGAGATGATAGTAATCAAACACTAAAAATCCTTCCATTCGAATTTGCTTGGTGATCAAGCACATCAGATTGCGAACTCCTTCTGGCTGCTCAAGATTATATTGTGAAATCATGCCACAAGCAGCAATGCGGCTGTGGAGGGTCATGTGTAGAAGCACGGCATCAAGCATCTTTCCTCCTACATTATCGAAGTAAATATCAATACCATCTGGAAAATACCTGCAAAATCAAGATTCAAGTAAGAAATCTACATTCTTCTAGCTGTAGAAAGTACGAAGACAAATTGGAGATCACCCTGATGTCATGTGGCCCCAAGTAGTTTAACAATGTAAAAGAAAAAAAAATGAGTGCCAACTGTGAAGAGATGGAATCGATCTTGAGAATCTGAAAAGTCCATTTTGACCTAAAAAATACTATCTAGGGGCACATCAACACGCTGTCTCTGAGTAAATCATCCTCTTCATCAAGATCTATGCTTTTCCAGCGAATAATATGATTCCAGAGAAAAAGCAGATTTTAATTGTTTTCTCTCAAATCCTCATTAATCCCACTGATAGGGAAAGCTGACCTTTTAAGAGCTGCATTTAAATCTGCCTCTTCTTTATAGTTAAAAGCTTTGTCAAACCCGAACTTGTTCTTCAATAAATCAACCTTTAAAAAAAAAAGTCAATAGCAGCAAAAACAAATGAGTTAATCGGTGTTCTTGGCTTTTAGATCTACATAGCGGAATCACCAGAACACTATTCTGTAAAAAATAAAATTGTGCCAAATGCCTGATGCCGGTCATTAGGTACATAGGGCAGTAAAAAACATGAAGCAAAAACATTTTTTTAAACTTTAAAGCTAAGAAAGGAGTTAAACATAGTTCACAATCCCATTTGGTTTATAGAACCTACTCCAGGATTACTAGTAGTTACAGGTCATACATAGGTTTATTTAGCTTTCATTTCAACAGGTCTGACATGAAGTTTGAAATTATCAAGCAAGAAGAAATGCAGTTTGTTCAAACTCAAAGAACTCATCAATTGCTTAGTTGCCTATGGCATTCTAACTTAAGCAGCTGAATATGAAAAAATCTAGAATTTCCAGATTGGTAGACTTTTTAGCAGAACTATTACAAGTTTGACTATCATTTAAATCCAATTGTATGAAGAGACTCAAATAGTTTCACACCCCAACCTGGAATTAGGAGAAAATGAGGTGGACCTCTCAAGGCACTCACCTTTTCTTTGCTTCCAGCACTTCCAACAACATAGCAACCAAATAACTTTGCAAATTGCCCAACAAGTTGGCCAACAGCTCCAGAAGCGGCTGAAATAAAGACACGTTCTCCTTTCTTAGGAGAGCATACCTCGAAAAAACCAGCGTAAGCAGTCATTCCGGGCATACCTGTTAGCGACTCGAAGCAAATTACACAACCCATGGCAACAATAAGTCAGCAGGGAAAAGAAAAGGGAGGGGGGTGTTTGGAATATCACTTTTCAAGTAATAGAAGGACAAAAATTATGCCTAATAATTGATGTAATGTTTTATCTTATGAGATATATTTTCCGCAAGATAGTACATTCAGACATAACTGCAAATAGATAAGTAGCTCAAGAAGCTCCCATTACTGTCAAGCTACATGATCTGTTAGTGGAACATCATCTAGAGACAAAGTATTCATGAAGAGAGCCAGATAGTAAATGAATAAAGGGGTGAAAGACTTCGATTACTAGCTCATAGCTATAGGCAGAGCTAATAAATTACAGGACCCTTGTCCTTTTAGAAAGATGGAGATTTTAACTTTTAAAGAGTTGCAAATGGAAGGAACTGCAGGGTTAGAAAGGACATAAGAGTCTATCTTATTTTCAGTGATAATTGTTATTGCTTACAATAAAATTTTGCACAAAAATGGAAAAATGCTCCTCTTTTAAACATTTTAACCACCTGCATGATGTTTCAATATGCTCTCTCTCTCTCCCCCTGCACCTCCCCCCCTCCCCCCGGGCGACCGCGCACAGAGGTAAAGCTTGATAAGGCTTCCAGGAAAAAAAAAAGCATTTAAGATACCAAACTGGCATTCAACTTGAACACAAACATCTGTTGGAGAGCAATTCATCTCAATACTCATATCTGGTGCAGGAAGGATACTCTATGCAATTGCATTGAAATCAAGACATGCTAAATTCAACACACGAAACCAAAATGTTACTTTATTTTGTCATTGCTCACCAATTAAGGGACCAAATTTCACTACTGAAAAATGTAATTTTTTGATAATCTCACCCAGGATGCCTGTATAGTAGGACAGAGGCACATCTGTGTGCTGAATCTTAGCGAGACTTTCTGTTGAAGTGATAATGCTATGATCTTCCCATGTAGTCCTTCCCCAAACCAGATCACCTTTGTTGAAGTTTGAATGAGTAGAATCCAAAACTTCAGCCACTCCATATCCACCTATAGGCTACAATGAAAGCAATGACATCAAGTTATTAGCTTGACTTACTGACAAAAGGTCAAATCTTTCGAATAAAAATTTCAGGGAATTCAGAATTTGTTCTACTTAAAGATATAGATACTCCAAAACTTTCAGTACTCAACCATAATCCATAACTAATTACCATAAAATAATATCAACTAACTAATTAACTATAGACGCCCATCACCGCATATTCTTTGAGCACATTCTACATAGTTCAATTCCACATGATGCTCCCAAACAAACAGCACAATTAAGTAAAACATATTAAAAAAAAAAAAAAGGAAAAGAAAGAGAAACAATAAGATAATCATCCAAAAGGACCCCTAGCAACAACAAATCAAAATGAAAAAGAAACTTGGCAGAATTGACATTTAATATTAAATTATTATTCAAATCCGTATACTTCTACTTACGGAGCCAGGAGTAAAGGACTCAATGTAGCTGCCTTCCATCTTCCTCATGCGGTTTCTCATGTAAGGGTCACAAGACAAGTAGAGATTCTTCACCAAAATTGCCCCCGAACAACCTTCCGGGAGCTTCAGCTGGGTTTTGGTGGTTCTGATTTCCATATCACTCTCTTTTGGAAAACCACTGACATAGTGCTTCAGTATCACCTGCTTGTTCTCCGCTACTTCTTCTTCCGCCATTTCTGAAATGCTCTCCAAGATTAAACTGGTGGCGGTAATGTTGGTGCCGGCCCCGGTGGACTGGTGGCATTTAAGGAGGATGTATTTATATAGTGCGTGTAGTGAGGGTGTTTGACAGGACAATTGTTAGTTTTAACTGTTAATGAAGCAATAAATGCATGGCCAACAACTTATGATTTCTTATTCATCATTTGTAAAACGTGGTAATATTATGCATGGACTCACGTGAAAAATATGCGAGAGCAACAGTATCACATTGTTGCTGTGAATTCATACATATAGTTAATAATGATTTATAAATTGTTTATATATTGTTACATCGTTGACGAACGATTGTTTGTGTTATCTGAAAAAAGATACGAATGAAATTATGCTGATAAATGAAAAACCATTTTGTTTGTTTTAGTTGTTTGGAAAATAGGATAAATTTTTTTTTTGGTACTAGAAAAAGGATAAAATTAATGTGGGTTTTTTTTGGGAGGGGGGGGGGACTTTGTAGATTTTTTCATTGTTTAAATAGAAGGTTATTTGGAGAAGTGCTATAGTATTATTCATATATAACACTATAAAAAGTGCGATAGTATTATTCAAAAAAAAGTTCCTAAATAAACTTCTATTCACTTTTTTTTTTAAGAATTTTAAAAATTTTTAATCAATACACATGATAGTTAAACAAAGACGTGATAGAGATAAAATTCAGGACAGATGATTTGAGGCGTAGATAGATAAAAGGTGTTTCATGCCTGTTGTTAAAGCTAAAAATTGAGCGAGTTTTGAAGTGGCATAAGCTCCCGTTGGTACAGTTAATAAGTTCCTTGGTCAAGTCGAGCTTCCTCGAATATGCATTAACTTTGATGGATATACATACCTAGGAGCAAGTATCCATAAAATACCTCCTATCGATTCAAATAAAAAACGGGACTTTTTGTCTCCAAACAAGTCTTTGATGCTTAAATCAATACCTAGGGTGAATTCCTTGCATTGGCATTGGCATTTGATACACCTGCCCATATATTGATGGTATCATCATTTGCCTCGTACTCTCAGGTTTTAGCTGCAACACTTGAGAATGGTGGAGTGCTCAAGGTAGATTTGCACTTGTTCTTTTTTTTTTTTTTTAAACAAAAGAGAGAGGTTCATCCTCTTAAACGGTTACCAAACGTGGGGTAGCAACCCCTAAGATGTCCGCTCCAAGAGTTTCCTTAAGTTCAGTTGGAGGTTCCCTAAAGACCTGCATGCAATCCTGGTTCTCTGCAGATGCTGCCCTTAGCAAATCAGTCAGCGCTTTGATCCATTTTATCAATGCATTTGAAACTGAAACTAGAGTTCTATCTACTACAAGTTGTTTACTAATTTCTCTCACTAGAGAGAAGTTGATGAACCAACTGCTCCTTAGTCTGGACTCTTCAGGGCCATGTACAGAGGTCATTGTTTCTCCATGTCAACTCTGTGGATATAAAGCAAAATGCTGTTGATTTACACAGAAAAGCACCAACTGATCTTCCCTGTACTCAAAGGAATGCAAAAAGATCATACAAGATGCTCTGATATTGGGCTTCGGAAAAGAGGAAGATTCTATTTACGTATTTGACAAGATGATATATCGATAGGATAAAGCCAAGCACCAAAGCTGAAAGCACTTACATGAGTTCCACTCGATATACATTATTGATTATTCACAGCAACCACGATTTGCTTCCCAAAGATTGCATGAGCATACTAGACAAAACCAAAGCACTAAATTTGAAAAGGGCAATTCCAGATGATATACATTATCCAGGGGTAACTGCTACCAGCTGCTTCCCAATGTTGCGCCCTGAGAATAGCCGTATCAGAGCACTTGGGCCATTCTCAAGGCCTTCAGCTATATCTTCCACATAAGTAATCTTCCCTTCTTTAATCTGTGGGATAATCATTTCCAGGAACTTAGGATAGAGATGGTAGTAATCAAACACTAGAAATCCTTCCATTCGAATTCGCTTGGTGAGTAGGCAAAGCAGATTGTGAATTCCTTCGGGATGCTCAAGGTTATATTGCGAAATCATGCCACAGGCAGCAATGCGGCTGTGGACGGTCATGTTTAGAAGCACAGCATCAAGCATCTTTCCACCTACATTGTCGAAGTAAATATCAATACCATCTGGAAAATACCTGCAAAATCAAGATTCGAGTCAGAAGCCTGTGTCCTTCTAGCTGTAGAAAATACCAATAAAATTGCAGATCACCTTGATGTCATGCACAGAAAGTAGTTTGAATGACACAAAGAAACAAGAAATTATAAATGCCAACTTTGAGATGAAATCAATCTGAGAATCTGAAAAATCCATTTTGAGCTAAATATACTTCTCAGTGGCACATCAACATGCTTTATCTAGGTAAAACGCCCTCTTCATAAAGAACTATGCTGTTCCAGAAAAAAGCAGAATTTAAGGGCTTTTTTTTCCTTAATTCTTCATTAATCCCACTATTATCGAAAGCTGACCTTTCCAGAGCCGCATTTAAATGTGCCTCTTCTTTATAGTTGAAAGCTTCGTCAAACCCCAACTTGTTCTTCAATAAATCAACCTTAACAACAAAAAACAAATGTCAATAGCAGCAAAAACAAGCAAATTGAGTTAATTGATCTTTTAGGCTTTTAGATCCACATACCAGAATCACCAGAACACTTTTCTGAGAGACAGTAATTATACCAAATATCTGAAGCAGGTCACTAGATACACGGGGCAGTAAAAAATTTGAATCTGAAACATATTGTGAACTGCAAAGCTAAGGAATGTCCTAAACATAGTTCACATTCCAATTCGGTTTCTAGAAGCATCTTCAGGATAACAAGTAGTTCCACGACATATATAGATTTATATAGCTTCCACTTCAACAGGCCTCGCGTGATGTTTGAGGATTCTTAGCCAAGGAAAAACGCAATTTGTCCAAATAGATACTCAAAAACTCATCACTTGGTTATGGGATTCCAACTTTTGCTCACATCAATCACACTAGATATTGAACATGAAAGAATTTGAATGTTTGGATGGACAGACATTTTAGCAGAACTACTACAAGCTTGACCATCATCTAAATGCAGAGTTATGACATGCAGGGTATTATGAGCTCAAACAGAAACCTATGGAGTGGACTTCTCAATGCACTGACCTTCTCTTTGCTTCCAGCACTTCCAACAACATAGCAGCCAAATAGCTTTGCAAATTGCCCAACAAGTTGGCCAACTGCTCCACAAGCTGCTGAAATAAAAACACGTTCTCCCTTCTTAGGAGAGCACACCTCAAAAAAACCAGCATAAGCAGTCATGCCAGGCATACCTGTTAGCAACTCAAAGCCAATTAGAAAACCTATGGAGATAATAAGTGCACCCAAGCAGGGGGGGCCGGTTGAAACTATCACTTTGCAAGTAATTAAAGGGCAAGATTTTGCACAATAAATCACATAAATGTTTCTTCCAGAACGATAAAAATTTCTTCAATATAGCAGATTGAGACATTACAGATAACATAGTTCAAGAAGCTGCAATTACTGTATACCTGAATGATCAGTTAGTGGAACATCATTTAGGGAAAAATTATTCGTGATGAGAGCAAGAGACTAAATGAAAAAATGACTAGAAGATTTGGATTACTAGCTCATGGTGTTTATGCCTGAGCATCTGTGGTAGGCAGAACTAACAAATTACAGGACCCCTTTCTTTTTAAAGACCATAAGATTTCACTATCACGAGTTGAAAATGGAAGGGACTGCGGAGGATAGAAAGGGAATGAGAGTCTATCTGACTTTTAATGTTCATCATTATTCTTCACGATAAACTATTGCAGGAAAAAGGAAGAATGCTCCTCTTTTAAACATGTTAACCTGCTGCATAATATTTCAATTATTCTCTCTCTAGCTCCCTACCTCCCTCCCTCTGTCCCTCCCTCTCTATCTGTCTCTGTCTCTCCGCCTCCCCCTCTTCCCTCCTTTACGACAGGTAAAACTTGTTATGGTTTACAGGAAATCATTATGTAAAAGGGATAATATCAGAAACCTCCCCTGAGGTTTGTCTTAATATCACTTGGCACTCCTAAGGTTTTAAAAATATCACTTACCTCTCTTACTTTTGTTACTTGTTTAACAAAATTTTTAAAAATCCTAAACAACCCTTTCACTTGCTAAATAAAAATGTTTCTAGACCACTTTGTTTCACTTGATGAAAACCATCACCTCAAAAACAATCTTTTGTAGTACTACTACATCATAATGCTATACCCCATAAAGATACAAATTTGAAAAATAAAAAAAAAATTTGAAAAGAAATACACTTGTATCAATTTTAACTCTATATGTTCAAAATTGATTTCTTATGAATTTATATTTTTTTCCAACATCTTCTCAACCCTTGCTCAAACTATTAAACTGTACCAATCATTATAAAAATCAACTCAAATAAGCAAATAAATCATACCCCACTTTATCATAATTACAAAAAGTAAAAGATAAACAAAATTCAATTTATTATAATTTACAAATAAAATATTGCATAGTCATCCAAAAAATGAGTACGAGAGAATGATGGAGAAAAGGGAAAAAAAGAAGAAAGTGACTTTCATTTCATTTTTTTTTTTAAAATTTTTGAGCTCCATTTATTTGATATGTTGTGAATTATGTGTCAAATGAGGGTTAATATAGTCTTTTTACAATTACTAGGGGAAGGTAAGTGATATTTCTAAAAGCTCAAGAGTGCCAAGTGATATGAAGAGAAACCTCAAGGGAGATTTCTGATATTATCCCTTATTAAAAATACCAAATTACACTTGAACACAAACTTCCACTGGAGAGCTACTATTTAGGTCGATGCTTGGATATCTGGTACAGGAAGTGGATTCTCTGAAATTGCATCATAATTAAGACAACACAGGGAAGCAAAATATTAGTTTACTTCATCATTATTAACCAATCAAAGAAACACACTCTCAATATTGAAAAAATGAAATGTTGGTGAGAAACTTACCCAGGATGCCTGTATAGTAGGACAAAGGCACATCTGTGTGCTGAATCTTAAAGAGACCCTCTGTGGAAGTGATAATGCTGTATTCTTCCCATGTAGTGATTCCCCAAACCAGATCACCTTTCTTGAAATTTGGATGACTAGAATCCAGAACTTCAGCAACTCCATATCCCACTATAGGCTACAACGAAAGCAATGACAAGAAGTTATGATCTTGACTTACCTTTGTCCTCTCTCAATTGAATCATTAACCACTGTTGACAGTACCTATCATGCTGATAATATATTCTGGCAATCGGTTAAAAAATGTAACTTGGAGCACCCATGTTAGACAACTTACAATTGCCGATCTTAACACAGGTATCCAGTTGATATGGACCACTAAAAATGCCAAAAATTAATAATATATGCACAAGCATTATGTGCTTGCAAGATCACAAAATGGAAAGCCATTGATGGAAAGAGCCCCTGAAAGAATCTCAATCACTAAACTGCAACCTGGATTACCAACCACAACCTGCCATTAGAGTCACCTGTAACCTAGATGTGATTATGCACTACCAATCCGAAGTTATGATGTTATATCATATCTGATAACTTAAGAAGCTCTAAAAAACACGTGCTATCCTTTTCTGAAACATTTAGATGATATGAAGCTAATTATAAGCAAGTTTTTTCTCCAAACTGTAAATTGAATCTTTATTTTGCCGCATCATTTCACACATGATGACCTTAGAGACTCAATCCATTTTTTTGATAGTTCTTAAGACAAAAGCATATGCAAACCAGTGCCTCTTGATTTCACGTTGCTGTAATTGTTCATTCCTTAAATTCAACATTGGCCAAGTTCAATGAATAACAACAGGCTCTCAATAATGGTCTTTGGAAATGAAACAGACTTACAGAGCCTCAAATAAAGGACTCAACATAGCTTCCCTCGAGTTTCAGCATACAATTTCTCATGTGAGGATCACAGGACAAATACAGATTCTTCACTAGCAAAAATTATCAGAACCTTCTGGGAGCTTCAGCCTTATGGAACAAGGTGCGAAAATCATATCGGCTGTTGGTGCAATATTTACAACTTATGGGCAGATAGAACTTTTCGGCAGCATTCATTAGAGCCCGATCAATAATCGGCATAATGGTGATATTCACACACCTGTTGGCAATTTGGCATCCACAAACATATGCAGATAGATGCAGATATAAAAAGGAGAAAGGAACCAGATTACGCTAACCAATTTATCAGAAATCATGCACCAGATCATGGTCGTAAAAATCAGGGATGTGGGAGTTATAAATTCCTAGAGGTAAGGAAGTGGGTGATTCCTGCTACCCACGTTTCAGCTGATATGGCTGGCGTGGTAGGAGGATATCTAAGAGGTGGACCACTAAATCAGCAATAAACCATGAGGTCAGGGAGTTGAACACCAAACCATGAGGTCAGGGAGTGGAACACCAAACCAGCCATGATTCCATAAGATGTGGAAATGGGTTTATCAGCAACATCTACCACCACAAATAAAGAAGCAAACTAAAAATACTTGGAGATTACATCAGAACATTTACCAACTCTCAACATGACAAACAACTCAAAGAAATTCTCTCAAAAATAGTACTTTTCATGGGAAAATGCTCTCAATTTAGAAGCGTTCATAGATTCTTTAGGCTAGCTTTAGGATTTCCCAAGCTTTCTTGCAATCATTTCCCTTTCGTTTAACCTTTCCATTTCATGTTTCCAAGCAGTCTTTATATTTCAAGCAATCTTTATATTTCCAATCAATTGTTGAATTTCCGGCAAGGTCATGTTTCAAACTTTAATTCCTTTATCAGTTTATAAATTAGCTTTCTTCCCATTGCTTTCTTTATCAGTCACTTTGTCATGAATTTCAAGCCCTTGAGGCTACTGATGGCAGATGGACAACAGTGGTCTACAAGTCAGAGGGCACATCCTCTCGCTTACAGATATCAGCTCATTTTTCATCATTTTCCTGATCCAAATCAGGTGGCATGCTCGCAACAACTACAACATCGACGTCAGTTCGTCAGCTGCCAAAAATCAACGCAAACAGGTCTCTTTGGGAAGACCATTTACATACTTTTCATTATCACCTGGGCGTTACTCACGTCCTCTGCCTCTACCATTTTCAAGAAACTCACTAATTATTAGATGAAAATGATCTTCTCTAGCTTTCAGTCTAAAGCAAGCTCTTCATTTCTGCTTATTTTCACTTGCAAGTGATTACCTACCCAAAACAACTCCTTTTATTCCGTAATCTCATTCTAGGATAGTGGTGCAAAGCAACAAAAGTTTTGAACAGAGTATCTTTAACATAAGATCCCTACAACACGGAATAATCTTAAGCCAACAACTGATACACCTAGATTAATTTCAACATGATTTATTAGTAAAATACCAACCTGTAAGTATATCACTTTTCTGGACCTCGAAAATTGCTTTTATTTGTAGTCCATTGGCTTCTATTATTCTTGCTTTTCATGACCTTCTCAATACTTCCCTTTTTCGCTTTTGAACAAAGTTTAGGAGGATGGAATTGGAAGGTCACTGGCCCAAAAAGGGCTAATCAAACAAAAGAACAATAAGATAGTCATCCAAAAGCACTCACAGCAACCTCGCAAAAAAATTTCACATTTAATATTAAAAAAAAATTATCCAAATCTATATATTTATACTTACAGAGCCTGGATTGAAGGACTCCAAGTTGACGCCTTCGATCTTGCCTTCCATCTTGCTCATGCCGTTTGTCACGTAAGTGTAAGGTTCACAAGACAAGTAGAGATTTTTCACCAAAATTGCGCCCGAAGAGCCTCCCGGAAGCTTCAGCTTCTTTCTGGCGGTCCTGATTTCCATATCGCTCTCCTTCGGAGAACCCCTGACGCAGTGGTTCAGTATCACCTGCTTGTTCTCCACTTCTTCCCCTTCCGCCATTTTTCCCCTCAAAGCTGCTCTCAACTGAGCTGAAAATGGCGCGAAGTAGCAACTAGCAATGCATACGTATCCTGTATTGTTACTTCAACTGTTCTTCAATCTCATCCGTACTAAATAAGGAGAAATCCCTAATTTTAAGATATGCAGGGTTTGAAACCTTTTAGTATTTGATTATTAATAAATTCATGCTCATACATTTCTGTTTATTTTTTTCTTTATATATTCAAATAAACCGTTTTTGTTTTTCTTTTGAGTGTGGGTTTTGCTTTTTATTTTGTAAAATTATGGAGAATGAATTTTTAAGTTATTATCCATTGATCTTGAATTTTCAAATATTACCTGATCTCATAATTGGATTAGTATTTGCTGTAAATCCTAGTCTTCTCGTCTCATTGAAAGTGTCGTACTTTCTATTTTGGGATGTTCCAAACATTTGTCATATTAGGAAAATCAAAGCACATTTTAGTCTTTCTTTCTAATATAGCCCTTCTTTCTAATCATAGGCATGTTATCATTCAAATTTAAATTTTGAATTTGTGAGAGTAAAATTGGAAAGAAAAACACAAACATCACAATCAAACCACTATTTTTAAAAAGTTGGATTTCCAAAATATAACTAAATAATTGGGACGGAGGGAGTATTTAAACTCAACCACTTCCCTTTTCTCTTTCCCAACAAACGTTAACAGCTTTTATATATCAAACTGGATACTACAATTACAAAAAAGGGGCCACTGCCCTCGTCTCCTTTCTTGCTATTTCTAATAGCCATATTGAGAAATCACATTCCTATTCTATGTCCTGGACTAACTTTACTGCAAATTGAGCAACTTCATGGCTGCATCTGTTTTCTGCTCTATTCAGAAAAGAAAAGCTACAGGATTGAAACCACTGCCTTAAATCCTGAATGTCCTCCAGGATAATTGCAATGTTGTAGTTATTTACATTGCATGTGTTGATTTGATCCGCCACTGATTTGAAGTCTGTGTAGACCTCTATTTTGGTCGACCCTGCATCTTTGGCCATCACTAAGGCATTTCTTATAGCTAATGCTTCCATCATGTTGGCTTCACTCCTTCTCTGATGTACTATCCCTTTTGTCTTCACAATTTTTCCTATCCAATTTCTTGCTATTACTCCTTACCCAATTTTTACCATTCTTGCTGATATTGCTACATCAGTATGCAACCTAATCACTCCTTCCATTAGTGGCTCTCTCTTGATCTATTTTTGTTCTTGCACAACAACATTCACTGGTTCTTCAGTTTCAGTTTCTTTCGCCTATTCATACTCCATCCAATCTTCTTGTGTCTTTTGCACAATCTTGTTTGTGTCAGGATTGATTTTCTCAAATACTTTTTTGTTCTGAACTTTCCAGATTTGCGACAATATATTGATAGTAATGTTGATCCTGTCTCGACCATGGTCCATTGAGCTTGCTTGCATTGCCATCTTCCACTATTTCCACAAGTTGTGTTGTTCTTTTAGCCCCTCCCATTTGATTGGAGCCAGTTTCCAGACCAGCTCAGCATTTTCACAAAAGAAGAACATATGCTCTATAGTTTCAAATTCTTCCCTACAACAATCACATCTTCCATCCCTCTTTCCTAGACTTCTAAAAATCATCTCATTAACTGGGATATAGTTTTGCAGACATTTCCACATAAAGTGATTCAATTTTGCCTTTATGTTTAGTCCCCGTAGCCTTTTCCAAACACAGTGTTTCCTAATCTCCCAACTAGTTTCAGCATTGATCCCCTCCTTTTTCCTATGCTAGTTATCCTCCTCTTTAGCCACTTCATATCCAGATTTTACAGGATACACACCAGTTTTGGAAAAACTAAAAAATGATCTGTCCATACTTCTATGCAGGCTAAGAAGGATATTTTCTATCAGTTCTGCCTCATTTTACTGAATAGTTGCTGTAGGGTCTCCTTTTTCCATCTGCCATACTCTATCAAATAACCTACATTTTCAAAATGACAATTTGCAGGTCTTCTTGTGGTCACTATGCCTTTTTCTGAGCCTATTAACCACTTATTCTTCCAAATGTTCACACTTGGTCCATCACCAATTCTTTTCCATAACCCTCGAGCAATAGCTTCCTTGCACTGTGGATACTTTTCTAGCACTATGATCTTGATTTTAAGGGTTCCTTCTCTAGCCACCTTGGATCTCTCACGTATTTAGCTTTTTATCACCTTGCGTAATTCTCCAAATTTGCTTTGCAAGCAAGGCTGTCTTGAAAGCCATTAGATCTCTAAATCTCAACCCTCCTTTTTCTTTTACTTCAGAAAGTTTCTTTCAGGTTGCCCAGTGTACAGTGTTTTCCTTTTCTCCACTACCTCACTAAAATCTGGCAATTCTTGCTATGATCTCTTTGTATAGTCCTTTGGGAAGCTTAAAACAAGCCCTAGCATAATTTGGCATAACTATTATGACTGATTTGGTAAGGACTTCTTTACTTGCTTGACTTAGCAGCCTTTGTTTCCACTCCTGCATTTTGTTGATGATTCTACACTTTATGCATCCAAACACTTGCTTCTTTGATCTGCCAATGGCCGTAGGCAAGCATGTTCCTTTTGTTGCTTCTCTCATCCTATCCAAGGCCTCACTTGTCTGCTGTTTTGCTTGATTTGCAATGTTCTTGTTGTAATATATAGCAGACTTTTCACAATTTACCACTTGACCAGAAGCTTTGCCATACTATGTAAGGACTTCTTTTAATTTTTCTGCCTCTTGTTGGCTGGCTTTGCAACAAAGCAGTGAATCATCTACAAAGAATAAGTGAGAAATAACAGGTCCATTTTTACTAGATAGTCCTTTAGCATAGATGATGAAGATGTAAGGTGATAAGGGGTCTCCTTGGCGGACTCCTTTGCTTGGTCTAATGTATCCTATTTTTTGGCCATTTAGATTGAAGGAGTAAGAGATAGTTGACAAGTAGATCATGATCCATTTAACAAACATAGGATAGAAACCCATTTGAGTCATCACCCTACCCAAAAACTTCCATTCTACTCTATCATAGGTTTTAGACATGTCAAGTTTGATAGCCATGAATCTTTGTTTGCCTTTCCTTTTTTTTTTCAAGAAGTGAAGCATTTCATAGGCTATGACAACATTGTCTAGGATTTGTCTTCTTGGGATGAAAGTTAATTGGGTACTGCTAATGTAGTGATTCAGGACCTTTTTAAGCCTAGTAGCCAGCATTTTGGAAATGATCTTATATAGGACATTACACAAACTAATAGGCCTATAATTAACCACACTTATTGGGGCATCAGTTTTTGGGATTAAAGAGATGATAGTTTCATTCATTATTTTGAGAAGAAAACCATAATAGAAGAAACTATTTATGGCAGAGATAATGTCATTGTTAATTATATGCCAGTAATACTGGTAAAACAGCGGTAACATACCATCAGTACCTGGGGCCTTATTAGGGTGCATAGAGAAAAAGGCTTGTCTGATTTCTTTCTCTTCAACTAGTTTGATCAACTGCTCATTCATTCAACTAGTAATAGTGTGAAGCACTTCTACTAATATTTCCTCAAAATTGTCAGGATTAGTTGTAGTGAACAAGTCCCTGTAGTAGTAACTCATCTCCTTCTTAATTTCCTGCTCATTGGTGTACCTGGTTCCATCATGTTTCTGTAAGGTGCTGATCATGTTACTTTTTCTTTTTGTCATTACACTTGTGTGGAAGAATGCTATATTTCTGTCACCTTCTTTCAGCCATCGCCATCTTGATTTTTGGCTCTAATATAGTTCTTCATCCTTGTATGCTTTGCTGAGTTTTGTTTTGAGTTCAACAATCTTGCCTCTCTTGTGTGGTTCATTTCTTACTTTGACCACTGCTAGTTGTTCCTTCAAATCCTGTATTCTTACCTTTGAGTTCCTTTTCTCCTTCTTATTCCACTCTAGCATAGCAATCTTGCAATCCTTTACTTTCTTAGTCACTTTATACATTCTTGATCCTGCTTGCTCTTTTTCCCATGCCCTTTTAACCACTTTCTTTATCTTAGGATTTTTGGTCCATCTCTAATCAAAGTATAATCTTTTTTTGTTCCTACCTTTTGAAGGATTAATGTCCAACATCAACAGGTGGTGGTCTGAGGCCTCCTTTTCTATATGTGTACAGGTGGGCTTTCCAAATCTCTGCATCTAACCCGTATTACTGAGACACCTATCCAACCTCTCCTTGACCTCCCTATCTCCTTCCCAGGAATTATTCCATGTCCATGGTACTCCCTGATAACCTAAGTTTATGAGCTCGTTCCCTCTGATGAAATTGTTAAATTCTTTTAGACTCCCTTCAGTTATTTCCTTTCCTCCCCATTTTTTCCCAGTTGATCTAATATCATTGAAGTCTCCCACCAATATCTAACTCACCCTATTCCTTTTTTCTATTCTCTATGTGTTTCCATTGCTCCTTTCTCGTAATGCTGTCAGCACTTGTGTACAGGCACACTAACCATCATTGGCATTTAGCTTCCTCATCTTCTATCCTCACTAATATGTACCAATTCGTATCTTGCACTTGGTTTAACTTCACATCCTTTTTCCAAAACAATGCCAATCCTCTTGCTCTACCCACTAAATTTACAAAATGTTCATTATCATATCTAATTTGTTTTTGTATTTTCTTCAAGAAGGTTTCTTGATTTTTTGTTTCACACAAGAACACAATGTTAGGAGAGTGGATGTTTAAAACCTCCTTTAATTGAGGAATTGTCAAGAGGCCTCCTACACCTCGACAATTTCATACCATTACCCTCATTTAACCATTGAAGGCATTTTGGAGTTAGCCTCCATTTCCTCATCAAATTCTGTATAATTTGCCTCCATTTTCAATGCTTTCAATCTTGGTCCCTCTGCAGTATCCTTTTCCGTTGGTTCAACTTCCAACCATACTGTTTCCATTTTTCTCTTTCCCCCCAATTCTCCTCCTTGATTCCTGTTTGTGATGTCCTTCATTGGTGTTCTATTTATCCTTGCAATTTTCTTGACATACATGTCTTTTCTCCTCCTTTCTACTGCTGTTGCAATTTCTTTCTATAGTCCTTTCTGCCTTCTCTCCACTTCACTTAGGTCACTTGTCTGGCCACTTGTGTTCTTTTCTTCTATAATCATATCCACCACAT